GATTGGCATAAGCTTTTGCACAGACCTGTTAGCTTAAGGGCTTATCTCTTTTAATGCTAAGGAGTATTTCCACTGTGCTCTCACGACAGGCCTGCTCAGGAGCAGCTGCTTCCGCAGCACTCCATGTGTGCCTAAGCCCTTAGTGAGATGGCATTTTATGTTTGGATGATCAACATGCACATTTTTATACATCCAGCCTTTGTGTCTGCTTAGATAAGAAGAATCTTCCCTCAGCATTCTTCTTTAAATGCCAAAAGCCCTTTTGTTTAACTACAACGTGTCAAACAAATGCTTATCTATTACACTCTTCCCAATAAGAAGCCAGTGTTTATTCTTGCTATCTCTTCACTTAATGCATCTGATACTCTTATACCTTTCCCAAGTCTACTCAAGTGTTTTCCTAACATTTTTCACTTTGATGCCCCTGTACCTTGTTAACTTACAACTCCTTGATGCCAAGTTAAAGCTGGTAGATGCAGACGTGAAAAGAGTTTTCCAGTTTTTACTTCACATATTAGTGGCAGGTTGCTTTTTTTCCCTGCTCCCTCCTTTTTCAAAAGCACTTGTGTGCTAGGAGTGTTCTTGTGCTCGGCAGTATTACATCTCATTGACAAGCTTCCTCTATCTTTCTTTGGGTTTCTGTGTGTCCTAGGACACCCTGTATGACTCTCAAGCTGAGGAAGCTGGAGGGGCTGATGCCAGTGGGGAATTATTTGGGATCTTCTTCTCTACTTCTGCTCTTCTCCTGATCCATCATCACCACATCGGACAGGTCTTAGGTCTGCTAGCATTTCTAGGCCTAACATTGCACAAAAGGAGAGGTGAAAAAAATCTTTATTTCTAAAATGAAGCTGTTCCCAAGGATGGTTTATATGACCTTGATCTCTTCAGCTGTACCTGCTGCAGTCTGTTCCTGCAAACATCACACAAATAGTTTGTAAAAGGAAGGAAGAGACAGCAAAGATTTACTTTCACTACAATTTCATCCTGGATATTTTTGCTAAGATTGAATCAGTAAAAAAAAAAGCACCATAAGAATATGTTTTTTTGTAGAATATTCTACAGAAATTGAATCATATTTTAAGTAGGTATAAATACCTTGCAACAAGTCCTGATGTCATTCTGCCTCCACTTCTCGCCCTCTGAACACCATCTGGAAAGACCACCTGTGCTCCCACATGAAGCACATCCCCTTTCTTAGGGGGCAAGTGGGCAGATCTGCAGGCCCTGGGCTCTGCCAGGCTCCTTGCCATGCTGAAAGCCATTCTCAAAACACCTCGCAGCCCATCTCATCTGTTCTGCAGTACAGGAATTTCGTGAGTTCAGGCTCAACCCAGAAGCACATTCACATTCTTCAATCACATTGAAAACATTCTCTTGGGCATTAGCAGCCAACACACCTTTGTGGTATGTGCTGTAAACACTGCAAATGTCAACAAGACAAAGCCTGACAAAGTTCTGCTACTCAGCGCTACTGCTGAAATGAAATGGCAGTGGAAGAGGCAGAATTTTCATTTTGAAATTCATCTGAAGTAAATTTCAGACCTTTTTCAGATGCCTGCTCCTTGCATTCTGTGTATGAAAGCTCAATATTAGATCTAACATAAGAAACATGTTGTTCCTGGAGCCAGTGGAGTTGGGGTAAGGGAAATATTGTAATAACAAGTTTTCATCTTCAACGTCTCCCCCTTCAGCATCATGATGGATGTCCAAGAATGTTCCGGGAAGAGAAGGAGATAACATAAACTGGTCTGAAAATGTAAGAAAGTGAACAGTTTGTTCTGGTGAAAGGTGGATCTTCATGTTGTGCACCAGCTATCAAAGGAGTATGCTAGGTTTTGTGTCTTGCAGGCTGCAAATCAACCTCTTCTACCTTCCAGCAGAGCTCACTAACTGCTGGGTTAAAGGCTGCTGGGCAAGAACATCTTTGCTCTCCTTCTGTACCTAATAGGAAAGATTTTTTCCCACTACAGAAGAGCACTTAATTATGTATTAGAGAGCATGGGCTGGAAAGTAAAGGAGCCCAAACAGATTTGGGATCACAGGGAAAGGGAAATTCTAGAATCCATCTTGGAAGAAAAATACTTTTCTACATTTTTTCTAACAACTTTGCATGAGAGCCCTGCAAGCTCTATGCCTCATTCCTAAAAAAAAAAAAAAAAAAAAAAAAAAAGTGGCTTCCCTTTTATCAAACAAGAAGGGAGATTGCTTCATTGCTTCACCCCTAATGTATGTCCATTATGTGACAGTTTGGGATAGTATTTGTTAATGCACACATCCAGTTTTTGGCTAGGTTAAATGCAACAGCTGTATTCCCAATTACAACCACCTAGGCAAGGGAAATAGCCTCACCTCTGACTTTGATTTTTTCCAGCCTTTGCCAGCTTTATCAAGCACAGACCTTTTCAATGCTCTCCCATCCTCCTTCCTTTTCACTGCTTTCTCCTATTGTCCATTTTCCCTAAATTCTGACATGCAGACATTTTCTTACTAGGAGGCATCTGTTTTGTTTTTGGATTATCTGCATCTGCTCTACTTTTGGGAAAGTAAACTATGCTTTGTCCAAACTTTTATATATGCCTCAGACCCCAAGGCTCAATTGCTGTCCAGTTCCTAGAGTCTATACCTGACTGATCGGTGTGCTGTATTAAGAAACAGTGTTTGAAATGCATTAATGCCTTCAGGTTTATTAAGAGAGAGAGTAATTTTTCAAAATAATAAAGTAATTCTTAATGTTGTCATGAACTCAGTTAAGAAAATATTAGTCTTTTAAAAAAATATCTGTTAGAAATATCCCCTCAAGTGCAGCAATTTGCAAGCTTGTAAGAAGTTTGTTTCTTCTATTTGCTTTAGTGGTTGGGTTTTTGTTGTTGTTCCTTATTGTTTGTGGGGTTTTTTTTGCTTGTTTGTTTTCTTAAAGCCCACCTGAGATTAAAACCTAAGTTAACCACAGAAAAGACTGAAAATTATTTTCAAACTTTCTTGAGCACAATTAATCTAATGCTTTAACAGCTGGCAGCTGCAGTAATTACTTTTAGATTATACCTAAAGTCTGTTGAAATCTAATTACTCTGATCTATGAACCAGGTAATTAAGGTAAAAACTCCGGCATTTTCTTAGACCTCATTAACTTATTTCCTTTGAAAATCATTAGCTAATGATGGTACATTAAGAGTTTATCCATAAAATGACAATGAATAATTGAAACCTTTGTCCTAGGACATCAGAGGACAAAATAGTGTTTAACTGCTCAATGTCTCGATGGCTATTTCTTGATTTACAGTGTAAATGTCATGCCAGTTTGGGGAGAAAGAACCAATTGAACTGGGAAAGTGGCCAGGAAAGACAAATATTTTCCTTTTCATTTATTTAGTATCCATAAAATAACTCAGGACTTCCACTGAGATATGCAGACCCCTGAGAAGCATCTCTACCTGTTAATGCTCAGGCTGTCTGGAGCTCGACTTCAAGAGTAAAGAGACACCTGGGCCCTGGACCCGACTGGTGTGTGGCAGCAAGCCTTTGAAATGCTGTGATTTTAGCCTTGTTGCAGGCTGCCTGTCCTGATTCCCTGTCTCAGAGCTCAGAGTTTGCAAGCTCTGAGATGCCGTGTGCTGTGGCTCCACCTGCAGCATCCTCCTCTCTCCCCAGTGCAAAGGTTGTGCACAGCCAGAGGATGAGCTTTTCACTGATACACACTGAAAATTTTGGATCCCTGTGCTTTGTGATTATGTCAGGAAAAAAAGACAGAAAGTTACATGCATCTCTCATCCCAAATGAGGGTGTACTGAGATGCCTATGGGACACATTTACCAACCAAGATGCTAGGAATGATTGAAAGAGGTAGGGTAGCCCTTAAGTTGTGGCTGAGCTAAGCTGCTTACCTTTATTTTGACATGAGTCTAAAGCTTGTGTTATTTTGAACTATGCTATTCATTATCCAGTGCAAGCTGTAACCCTACAAGGTGCAGCAGACAGTGGCTGTGTTGCCATCCTCTGTTCTCCATCTTGGGAAGGCAGCTCCAGCCATTCCCATTCTCCAGGTAGAGTTTTTATAAGGATGGAAGACCCAAGTCAGCAGACTTCCTGAAAAACTTCTGCCTTCAGGCCCCCTGTCCCAGTTTTCCTCAACTTCTGATGCTAAGTTTTTTTGATTAATTCTCCTTACTGTGTTGTCATCTGGAAGAGTGTGATCAGCATCTGGATCTGACTCTGCTAGACATTGTGATAATGCAAAATGCAAATTCAATTCTTTCTTAATAATCATATCTAATGTACCAAAGGAAAACTAACTCTACAACTATATGGACTACCTAATCACAGAAATTGATGGATAAACCAATGCTTTATTGAAATCTGTGTAACAAACCAATAACAGAAATTCTGTTAGTCACTTAAGAGCTGTGCAGAATAAGCACATTGGGCTCAGGATCTCTCGGGGCTGCCTCCTGAGCATCAGGTGCAGCACTTACCTGTTACATAGCATTTTAGAGAAGGAATTCATCTGTACTGAAGCATGTAATCTTAAAAGCCTAAAATCTTTAATTGCAGCTGCTCTGTAAAACAGCAACTTTAGTAGGAAATTGTCAAAGCACTGGCTTTGAATCATAACTCAAAGAAAAGTTTTGGGACATCATCAATTAGACCATCAAGGACCTGAGTACATATCTGCTGGGATCACTGTATACAGGGGGAAGGAAACAGTCTGAAACTGAATGTAAGTTGCCTTCAATTTTCTCTCCAGTAATGATACATCATTTATGAAGTAAAAAAAGTAATAAACTCAGATTTTCAGTAAGGCATTTTATTAATAAGGAAATGAATTGAACAAATGAGCTAATTAAAAAAAAAAAAATTAAGGATAGAAGTATTGATTCAATATAAGAGAGATGCCCACATGGCTATTCAGGAAATCCTGCTGTAAAGAAATTACCAAGACCAGTTTACCAGATACATAACTGCTAAAAGATTAAATCAATCAGTGCTGGAACTGCTTTTTCTCAGGAAAGAGGATGCTGTGAAATCAGCTCCTTCCAAATTACTGTATATTCCCATGGGTCAAAACTTGGACTGGAAGCCAAGTCCTCAATCAGTTTTCGGCCAATTTTCCTTGCTGCTTCAGTAGACATTGCCTTTTGCCAGAGCTTCAGCAACAGTCCTCCTTGGAAAGAAACACAATGTGACACTGTCAGATTAACATGGAGTACATGCAGCTCGAGGTACACAAGGGATGAAGCACACATTTGGCTGCAAACACCTAACCACTCTCTTGTGGATAGTGAAATGTAGACAAGACTAAAGCATGCCAATGGTGTAGTAATTGCCTACAGCTATGTAGGAAGACACAGGCTATTCATTCAGCTCAAGTTCCTTTGTATTGATAGACAACTTGACTTGTTCCCTTGTCACCAGTGTGGCAAATCAAAATGATTGAAGACACATGTCAGGGCCTTGTTCTGGAGTTGCACAGAGCTTATGAAGCAATGGCCTGATGGTTACAGTCATGCATATCTCTGTTTTCACTCTAAATTAGCAACAAATTTACTCTTCCACCCCTCTGAGGCCTCAAGCTAAAGAAGTGAATGACCCCTATACTTTCATCAAGGCAATTAGCAGTCATTCTCCATGAAGCATTCCTGACCAGACCTGTTTTAGCACCAGTTTGTACAATGTTCATTGCCTGCTCCCCTCTGCTCATCTCCATGATGTATACAGAAGCCACAAAGAAAATCTGAGGTGAAAGAAGAATCTACAGGAAAACCAAGAGTTTAATTATTCTCCTGTGAAACATGATTTAGTTTATAGGAGACAACATGTAAGAACTAAATTTCCACTATATTTTAACAGGGAGATGAGGAGTTAAGAGAAGGCAGCAGTCTGGCAGCCTGGGAGACCTTGTGGTACTCCTGGCAATTCAGTGAGGGCTGTGGGAGAGGCCTCAGCCCACATATTGCTGCCGTTTTGCCTTCATATATCTGTGAGGAGCAGAGCACTCAGTGAGTAAAGCTTCTCACTGTCCACTAGTGGAGAACTTTTAGAGGCAGTTGAATTGTGTTTATTTGGCAAAATTTTGGTAGTAGGGCTATGCAAGGTGGCCTCTGAGAGCAGAACCCAAGGCTACTCCATGTCAGTTCAGAACTGGCTCCAGCTGCCCAAAAGGGGCCCACCATTGCCAGAGATGAGCCATGCAGATGTTGGTTGTGCTTCTGGGAGCGGATTTAAGGATGGGTAAAATCTGCTGCACAGCAGCAGCTGGGAGAGTGAAATGTGAGAAAAAGCTCTGCAGGAACCAAGGTGAGTGCAGAGGGAGGGCAGGAGGTGCTCCAGGCTGGAGCAGGAGTTCCCTGCAGCTCAGGAGGAGCTTGGTGGTGAAGGCCAACCTCCTGCAGCCCATGAGCACCATGGGGAGAAGATCTCCACACACAGCCTTGGAGGAACCCACAGGAAAGCAGTGGATGAGTCCTGAAGGAGGCACAGCCCATGGAGAGCCCTCACAGGAGCAGCCCCAGGCTGGAGCTGCAGCCCTGGAGAGGAGTCCACGATAGACCAGGAGAAGAAGGAAACAGAATGTCGTGGATTGATCATAGTCCTCATTCCCCATTCCCCTGCTCTGCTTGGGAGGAATAGGTAGAAGAGGAAGGCATTTTCAGTTTGTGTTTAGTCCTCACTCCTCTAGCCTATTATCAATAGGCAGTAAATTACATCATCATCCCTTAAGCTGAGTTTGTTTTGCCCATGATGGTAATTGGTGAGCAATCTCCCTGGCCTTGTCTCAGTTTATGAGCTATTTTAGTCATATTTTCACCTCCTGTTCTTTTGACGTAGGAGGATGAGAGAGCAGTGCAGTGGTGCTGAACTGCTCACCACTGTGAAACCACCATGGCAATATATATAGCACTGTCTTCATATAGCTCCCTGCTAGAGGCAGCTTTAAGGAAATGAAGGGTAAGCAGATTGAATCAAGAAATCAGATCTCCTTCTAGGCCAACCAGGAACCCATCCTATGAAGTACTGAAATTCACACTCCACTATTGTTGTTTGCTACACAAAAAGAGGACTCCACTTCTCACAGAATATATTTAAAAGTTTGAAGAATCTGGCTCAACAAAACAGTATGGCTCACCTCATTTTGTCACAAGTGCTGTAACAACAAGGTCTAGCTTTTCAGATCCATTCTGAGGCTGTCAGTCCAGAGCCAAATATAGTTGAATATAATTCAAAGTTCCTTTTCTGATCTGCAAAGCTATCAGTAGGTTGAGCTAGCTTGCATATAACCCTCAACTGAAAGAAAAGCTCAACCCTTCAAAGCAGAGTCAGGGAAATCTCCAGCCTGCAGAGCCAAGGATTTCAGATAGAGACCACACTGTTTATGGCTACACCCATATAGAACATCTTCAGCATCTGTGCCTCTTCTTTCTCCCTTCAGTCTGACATTCATCTGCTCTGCTGCCCTGGTGCTCTGCTCCCTGATTTCTTCCCTGCAAGTCCTGCTTTTCCTTGCTGTCCCACAGTGGTGAGATGAATTCTAGATTGGTAAAGAAACCTATGTTTCTATGATCCATTGCATAGGTTACCATGCAGGGGACAGAGCTCTTAAAAGAAACCCTGAACTGTGACATAGGTTACCAGTCATATGACAAAGCTGTTATGATCCTTATTCAAATTATGAAGCAGTGTTCACCATTATGTGTGAGGAAAACAATCTGTGGTGTGAGGATGCTCTTTTGTAACACATAATATCTTCATTTAACAGCCTCTTCCAACAATAAATACAGTTACTGAAAGAATTTTCACTGAAGTATATAGACAGGAGATCACACACAAAAAAGACCAAAATGAAACAATAGCAACAACAACAACAACAACAAAAAACTATAGCTCTGGATACTAGCTTTGTAGTGTAACTTTACATTGTGCTTTCATTTAAATAGCTCCCTTCCATAAAGAACTAATAAATAAATAGTATCAGCCCCTCAGAATACTGTAATTCTATGTCTCACCACTGGATGGTGATGCAGAACTTGTTTTAGTTAAAGCTGTCTAAAGGATAGTGCTCTGCTGGGAGAGAAGAATTCTGTGATTCTGCTTAATGTTTTCCGTAAAAACAAAGATTGAGATGGAAAACAAAAACACAAAACAACAACCAAGCAGAATACTTGTGGACATACAAACCATTGTTTTTGATCCTTTGCTCTTTTTTTTTTTTTTTTTTTTTTTTAATAATGACCTCAACTGATCCAGTAAATTGATTTCCAGCCTTGATGGTTTCAGATTTAACTTGTGAAATGCAAGCTGGTGCTCATTTTTAAAGTTCCTGGGTAAACTGGAGAAAAAAAAAGAGTAAAAGCCTATGCTCCCACAAACATAACCTTTGTCTCATGTGAAATCCTGTCAGCGTTACCTCACTGCTGTACTTTCTTTCTGGTGCATTGTTCACTTGTGGTTGTACTTTTAGACATACTGTTTTACTGTTCATCTCTATGAAGTGATTTTACTTTTGCATATTGAAAATCACTGCATTCATGTGGAGAGAGGTATAGAAACAGAAGACAAAAGATATCTATGGACTACTGGCTTCTTCAGGTGGGGCTCATACCTGTTAATTGATTTGCTCTGTTAAGAGCTCTCAGTGATACAAGAACTCTGTTTTGCTGTGAACTGAAGCCACTGATGGATGGGAGGACATCCCCTTCAACAAGCATCCTCTGGGGCAGGAAAGCCTGGAAGTGGTTTGTGGTGTGCAAATCTGTAGAGAAATGTGTGGCTGCAATGAAATCTACACCATTAGCCCAGTCTTCGCCAAAATTTGCTTCTGGAACAGCAAGATATTTTAAACTGTAAGAAATAAAAGTGAAAAATGATCAGATAATTGAAATCCACAGTAGAACACAGTAATCTATCTTTTATACCAAATGAGTTTTGACCAGTGTAAAATCCTGAGCAATCTCAATTTAGTAGTGACTTAAAGCCTCCTGCAGCACTTTACGTATAATTTCTCCTGGCATAACCATCTCTGGACAGGTTAGATAGAGCTTCTGGCTGGGGGCCCTGGCTTTCAGATAGGAATCAGCATCTTGTGTAAGCCCATAACCTGCCTGCCTATCACAACCTGTTGTGTCGACGCTTCATCTCTTGCTGGATATCTCATGCTTCTAAAGAGGGAAAGCCCAGAGCCTCACACAGGCATTGTTCAGGCACTATTCTCACAAACAGGCATGGAGGTGAGAAGGTCCCCCTGGCCACCTCTCTCATTCCCGTACCTGTCCTGGAATTTGGGCAGCGCGTAAGCAATGGAGGCAACGTGCGCCTTCCACGTGTGGTGGAGAGCATCATCCAGCACAAAGGAGGAGGACTTCACTGAGTTCATGGTTTTTTGCTCTGCAGACTGTAGATACTGCAGCAATAGGGAGAAAAAGGCAGAGAAATAAGTGGATGTTTTGAAATCAATACGTTTTTCACAGTTACATACATACTTCACAGTAGAATAAGCTTTCACGCTAAAGAAAATTGCTTATGAGTAGTTACAATGTGTTACTTGCACTTTGTAAATAACTGTACTATCTGACATAGGGAGAAATTATTAATATAGATTTCTAGACTGAATTTCTATTCCAACTGAAATTAATGAGATTTGCCATTCTTTAGCTTCAACAGAGTGAATGTTTTTCCCACATAATATAGTATTCTGTCACAATAATTTGGACTCTTGTATCTGAGTGCAGTGAAAGTTTCTATGCAAAAATGCTGAATTTCTTGAAAAACAGTTACTTTTTCAGCTGCAAATGCTAAAAATTTTCAAAAAATAAGAAAATGAGCCTTAATGGTTGTGATTATGTGATCATTTATAATAACTTCCTGAATATACTGTTTAGTATAAAGAATCTGAAGAAAACAAATCCAGCCTTGTTCTTAAAACCTATTCCTCGACTTACAATCGCCAAGTTACTTGTGTTTTTAATTTGCTGATCATTATCTATTACCTGACTGTGAACAAAAAAGTTGAATAAAGAAGGTTATCTATAAAAACTATTATTGAACCTATGAAGTAAGAAATACAGTCATCTTTGTGACTGGAGAGCAACTGAATGATGTGGAAACAGAGTACGTAGATGTATTAAAAATATCCTCCTGAATTTCAGTGTTTTTTTATGTTCAAAGGAATAAAAAGGCCCTATAAAACCATCTCAAGAGTAATATCTATCTCACCTGCATAATTTGGAATTGCTAACATTAGGAAAACAAGTGTAACTATTAACATTCTTTAGGGACTGATGCTAAAATACAAAATTAGCTTGAAAGGAAGGAAAAGAATCAATAACCTGCAAAAATCCCGACCTTCTCATCTCTCATTCATTTTATGTCATGCTCTCCTTTTTTCCACTTCTTACCTTTTTTATCAAGTTGTTATTGAAAGTAAATCAAGCCACCAAAATACAACAAATAAGAGTTTTAAAAAGAAATATTCTAGTATAATCTCCTACAAAATATTTAAAAAATGTAAAATTGTTTACTTCAAAGTAAGCCTTCCACTCATCTAAGAGCTTGGGAATGCGAGAATGGCAGTCAGCAACACTATAACAGAAATCATCTCTTCGGTCCTCTGGCGGCAGCATTTCTACCTCATACTTCACCTCTCCAAAGAGGCCAGCTTCCACTGCACCCAAAAAGGGTATGACAGCCAGGTAGTAATTCATACCTGCAGTAAGAATCAGAAAGGAGGAGGCTTTAACTGCCAAGAAACAAACAATTCCTACATGGAGAAATGAAACCTCTACAACAGCAAATGGAGGCATTTCAAAATGCCACCGACACAATTATGTCCAGCAGTGGGACGTGTGTACTGAAATTCCCTAGTAGTAATAATTGTATTGATTCACATACAACTTTCAATATTAATTTATATGTTGGCCATAAGCATGTAGGAAAGCCAAGTTCAGCTCCTGCCTGCGCTGGACCACATCTTCTATGAAAGTGTTTGTATGACTTTTGATGTTCTTCCTGTTGGAAGAACAATTTTAGATTCTCCTCTTGATTGTGTCCTTCTTTGTAGAAATAAATTTTAATGACTTCCAGCAAAGAACAGCCTAAAGCTCAGATTTGTTGGGTAGGAAGCTTTGAGCCATAAAGTTAAGAGGTCATTTGCTCATGCTTAATCTCAGTGCCATAGATTGCCCAGATATTTGCACATGGTTCCAGCAATGAGGACCAAAATCACCGAAGTATTATAACCTATCATGTATCCCTATCCTAATAATTATTCCAGCTTCTGTATGTATGTGGGCCTGGCTAGGGATTCTAGAGGAGATGTATAGCCAGTGACAAGAGCCAAACAGAGGCCCCAAGTGATGAGAAGACAGTGTCTCATTGGGAGTCATTACTGAGCTGAGTCTTTCTTTTCATTCAGAGAAGCTGAAATTTGGATTTCACACAAAAATACACTTAAATTCTTTTAAATATACTTGCATGTATTAGTTACTTATACCTGCTTGGGGAACTCAGACAACAGAACAGTGCAACAAAGGAATACACTGAATATTATTCTAGGTCAAAAGGACAGGACTTCTTCAGCAGCAGTCTTTCAAGCAGAGTTTCTTATACCTTGGGACATGTTAAAAGTGAGTTTCTGGCTTCAGCTTATTCCCAGCTTGGTATGACTATGTATGCCAGGAAGGGTTGCCCTGGAGACCAGACCAAGCCGCTTACATCCTCAGAACAATAAGGCATTTATCTGCAGTCTGAAATACTTTTTTGTGTATTCCTGGTACAATAGGGGTACAATCAAGAGATTATACATTTCCTGGAGGCAACAAAAGGGCTATCATGCAGACTTACAGTGTTCAAAAGTAAGTGAAGAGCAGCAATGTATATACTGAATACAAATCTGATTTCTGTTCCAGGAACGTACTTTACCTGTTCCAGCACAGGTCTATGCAGTGACCCCTCTTACTTGTCACTGCATGGGACACCTTCTTCTGACCACCTGGTGCTATTTATTCTCACAGACACAAATTGAACTTGGATTGAGTATCACAGAGAAATTTGGTTTAGCACTACATTTACATTTTAATTTACTCTGTGCTCACAGTTTTGGTCACATGAGGATATATGAATTCAGTTGCTATTTCACTGTCAGAAGCCTCCACAACAAAGCACTGGTATGATGGGGAGAGAGAGCAATTCACTGCAGCCAAGCAGCAGGTCTTGAGGAAAGGTACACTCAAGGCAGAACAGCAGGGAGTGAGGGACAAAAGTGATGGAGTGAAAATGTACTGGAGGAAAAGGAGGGAGAGGTTTTCCCTTTTCAATGGAGGAAAGTGCATTAAAAAAAAAAAAAAAAGAAAAGAAAAAAAAAGAAGAGAAAGATTTTCATGGTTTTATTGACTTTAGATGTAAGTACTGACTGTAAGTCAAGCTTGTCTTTGTTTCTCTCTCCTCCTATCTGTCAGTTCAATTTTTTGAAAACAATGGAAGCTAATCTTTCCAGAAGAGACAGACTTCCAGTTTCATTTAAAAAAAAAAAAAAAAGAAAGAACTTAAAAATTCTGACTTTGACTCAAATTGGATACAAGGAAAATTTTAGTAGTTTTGTTTGTTTGCTTTTAATAATGTGTTCATTCAGCTTTTTGGATAATGGAAACAAAAGATCCTTCTACTTATACTGGTCATGTTTATGTTACTCAGTTTTCCTCGATGTAGGAAAATTATTAAAATATTTTTGATTTATCAAATGAGAAAATTTAACTGTTATTTTTGTTTTACTTGCTGTAATATGACTCAGAAAAAAAAAAAATTGTCTTTTAAGATCAACTCTGTGAACAATCTATCCATACATTGTCCTTTAAGAAGTCCATTTCCACATAGACACAGGCTGTAAAAATTACCAGAGGGAAAGAAGCTACATGTGTGTACTAGCAATTGAGACAAAGATCATTGTAGTACTGGTGTTTTTTTTGATTTATGCTGGAAGTGCTATTTGGTGGATTGCCCTGTAGAGCAATAGGTACCCTTGACTTGCATGCGGCATACTACATTGCATCCTTTACTCTTTGCACAGTTCTGAGCTAAAGGACAAAATATTCCCTACTGTTTAAAAAGTTACTACTTGCTGTCTCACATTCTGTAATTTCTCCCATGATTCATGCAGAAAATCTTGCAGTGGACCTTATGTACCACAGAAAGATGGGGTACTCTACCACACCTACCAAGAGTGATATCAACAACATGGCTGAGTTAGGTCATGGTTGGCCCTTCACTAAAATTTGTCACTTTATTTTTTATTGGCACTGCCTAATGCAAAGGTGGTTCCAAACTATTGCCTTCTAGGACACAAATCATATTTTGAAGAACATTGTAATAGAGTATACTTACAGGACCACCAACTTCTTACAGATATACACAGGTTTCTGTGGCCACAGGAAGTCCCATTGGTAGGATCTGCTAATCTGCCTAAATAAAACAAAAGAATGCACCAATTATTTCTGATTTTTTTTTTAACACAAGAAATCAAATTGAGATGAATATATATCTACATACATCAGTAAATTATTGAGAATTTTGCTAAGAGAAATAGAACAGTTGCTGTTGTCCTGCTTCATAAACTACTGTTTCTACAGTAGTTGAATTTCTCAGTCAATAATTCATGCAGCATAATATGACCTTGTTTTACAATTAAATTTATTGCTCACTGTAAATGTGTTCTCAGAGTTTAGGGAACTGCCTGAAAGTGGGATACCACAATGATATTTTTATAGATACATAAATATACATGCACATACAGCCATAAACATGTGCATAGCTGATGCATCATTTTCTGTAGATGCAAGTCTACAGAAAGAGAAGAGCTGTTCAGTGACCAGAATAGTACAAATTAAGTGAGCTAGTAATTGTATCACCTAATTGGGCTGTCTGATACAGAATCCCTCTCAGTTTAATGATGCATACAAACACTGCCTTCCTGTTAAGCTAAGCATGCAAATGTTGTTGTATCTGATTAGCAGAGTTTTCAAGCATCTGTTCTGTAACAAACGTGCAAGACATTTCACAATTATTTGTGACAGCATGTAAGACATATTTCACTTTAAGCACATGACATGGAGGAGTAGCCTAACTCCTTAAAGCACTCAGTTATGTACATTGCATGGTAAATAGTCATGTAGGGAGTCAGGAAATCTGTTGTAAGTACATGACATGAAAGTACCATAGTCAGGTTCAACGACATAAGATGTTCCAGAAGCTCTCAATCCCTGCCCTTAAGAGCACATACCCTCTAATGAGTCAGCTGAATACAGATATTGTAAATCCTGTCAGAATCACAGAATCACAGAATGGCCAGGGTTGGAAGGGACCTCAAGGATCATGAATCTCTAACCCCCCTGCCACGTGCAGGGCCACCAACCTCCACATTTAATACTAGACCAGGCTGCCCAGGGCCCCATCCAATGTGGCCTTGAACACCTCCAAGGACAGGGCATCCACAACCTCTATGGGCAGCCTGTAACTGCACCTCACCGCTTTCTCTGTAAAGAACTTCCCCCTGACAACCATCTTAAATCTTCCCTCCCTTTCCCCTTGTCCTGCAGTTATTCACCCTTTCAAAGAGTTGATTCCCCTCCTGTTTGTAGGCTCCCTTTAGGTACTGAAAGACTGCAATGAGGTCACCCCACAGCCTTCTTTTCTCCAGGCTGAACAAGCCCCTCAGCCTGCCTTCACAGGGGAGGTGCTCCAGTCCCCTGATCATCTTCATGGCTCTTCTCTGGACCCTCTCCAACAGCTCCCTGTTTTTCTTGTACTGGGGACTCAAGACCTGGACAAAGTACTCCAGATGGGACCTCATGAGGACAGAGTAGAGAGGGACAATCACCTCCCTGTCCCTGCTGGCTACTGCTCTTCTGATGGAGCCTAGGATACCATTTGCTTTCTGTGCTGCAAGAGCACACAGCTGGCTCACGTTAAGTTTTTCATCCATCAGGACTCCCAGGTCCTTCTCTGCAGGGCTGCTCTCAAGGACTGCTCCTTCCACTCTGTATAGATGCCTGGGATTCCTCCTGCCCAAGTGCAAAACTCTGCACTTTGCCGTGTTGAACCTCGTTATGTTCACCTGGGCCCACTTTTCAGGCCTGTTGAGGTCCATCTGAATGGCATCCCTTCCTTCTACATATCAGATCAGAACTTCATTACGTTCTTTAAAAACCCAAACAAATTTTCTGTTAAGACTCTTAATACTTTTTACTCAAGTTCATGAACCATGTGCATACAGATTATCCAAATCATCCTCTCCAGCTGACTGGACAGAGGATGCATGCTCTAGCTGCTCAAGCCCATGCCTTTGCAAAGCAGAGCACCAAAAGAAAGAACTGGCAATGGAGAAGAATGCAAATCTACAGAATTTTCTACTTTGCTCCGCGTCTTTACGTATTCTTTTCTTTACACTTATTCTAATGTCTCAACTACTATTGAGGTAAGAGTAAGAATATTTTTGTGTCATTATTCCCTTTTTTCCTTCTTTATAAGTATAGATACTACTTTTCCTAGTCTTCAGGCATGTTATGCCAGCTGAAACTTTCTTAAAATCCTTGCTCCTGGATTTGTACTTCCATATGCAAATGTGGGGATAGAGACTATGCAGTTCCCTCAGTTTGTGTAGTCAGATTCGTCTGGTTTAGCTCCATCTCTAAAGTTACAATTTCTATTTCCATAGTCACATTCTAATCAGCTATTCTGTCTTGTCCATGAAGATATCCTGTCCTGCCAACACTGGCTCTACTGTAAATGTAGGCAAAATAATGATTTATATTTATGTCCATGAGTTGCTCATTACAAATATTTGTGCCACTCTTATTAAACTAGCAGTTTCACTTGTTCTTTGTAGTTTGTATAGAACTATACTCATAAAAATATTTTCTTGGCAATATAACCCTCACAGCAGACAGGATGGCAACACATTTCAGTGGTTCTTTCAGGAATCTGCTGTCCAGTACCATTTCCTCCTTTAAACTGTCCAAGATCATTCTACTCAAATATAGCTTCTGCATGAAGGCATCTTTGTTTCAGCCACTCACTGAATCAGCTCTCCTGCGCCATCCATCCCCTTTATCTTCTCTTTGTTTCCTTACATATAAAGAAGGAAAAGAGGAAAAAGCCTGCTTAAACTCCAACCAAATCTTCTTGCTGTTGTTTGCCAGCTAGTGGCCTTCATGGATTTTGCTACTTGTTCTACCTCCTTTTCTTTATTTTGACTTAGTATTTAATTTTCTGTTAGTTGTGATTATATGTTGGCAGCCTTCCTTCACCACCAGCTGCAATGTCTATATCTTCTTCCAGGCAAATGTGCATCTTCAAAAAATCCTATGACCTCAAAAAGCTACAAATTGCAACCAGTGAACAAATGCAAAAACAACAACAACAGTAGTCAGACAGATGCATTTGCTTAAATCAGGCAAGAAGGATTTACTGCCAGGTACAAGTTCATACATGTCATGCTGCACATGAGGCAGAGTGTAGGAGAACACATTGCCCAACAAAGCCCTGGATATGATATTGCAGCCTTAGCTCCAAAGGACCTTTGGCATACATTTCTGTGCCTTCTTCCCTAGCATGGGCTAACCAGCGAATAAGAATGACTGCTCAGAAAACCACTTGCTTTAAACTAAGAGAGAGAAAAAGGAAGGGGAAAAAAAGAGAGAAAAAGAATGAGAAAAAGAAAGAGAAAAAAAAAAAAAGAATTAACCATTTTTGTAAAAAAAAATACGTATTTAAAAATAGTGAAGGTACTTCTAAAATAATCAGATAAGGCAAAGAGGAGAAAAAGTCTTAGTGGGAGTGGTAAACGTAATTATGAGAATGAAACTCTACATGACATTATCAGCCAAAAGAAGCCTATCAGTTAAAAAATTAAGAACAGTACTGCAGTGTGCGAACCCTCATATCTACCTGCAATAAACTGGGAAGACTGGGAATGCGTTCTCAAAGATTTTCAGGTAACTGAAGTGTTGCCTTCCTCATTTGATCTGTTAGTGCTTCTAATCCACAGTCCCTCTGGATTCTGATCAGTTCTATGTCTAGTAATATTTTTTCTATTAGAAAGTCAAATAGTTATATCTCAAGAAAGTAAGATATTTCCTTCAATGACAATTTCTCTTTCAAATTGGCAGCGTAGCGTAGTATGACAAAATTTACAATCTGTGTCTGTAGCAGTCTTGCAAGGCAGAAGCCTTGTGAAACAGTGACTCAAAGCTGGTTTGGTAAACACTTATCTGTTCTAGTAGCTGAAGGATATAATTCATACCTGTACGAAATTGCCACCCATGCTGCAGTGGTAATCCCCAAAGAATGTTGCCAGAATTTTGGGATCCAAAGGCCATAAAATATTTGGCTGAAGCCTTTAGCATGCTCTTATACACTCCCAGTCGTTCTCGATAGTTCCAAGGATTGATGACAATTTTGTTGTCCTTAACTGGGAAATCCAGAAGGTTTTCAGGGGCGAGTTCCCACAGTGGGGGATAGATATCTTCTCCATTGGCATCTGTGTCACTCTGTGCTGTGACAGCTGCTGGATTCAAGGCAACAAATACTATGAGAAGAGCCTTTATGAAACAGTAGGGCCACATCGTGGAGGTTTGTGACCAAGATCTTCATTGTTGCAGGGCTTTTATCATGAAAGGTGAGGGCTGGGCAAAAAGGGTGACTCAAACTGCAGAGGTCTCTGTCTCACTTCCTTCTTTTCAGCGACCACGACCTGGCACTGCCAGATGAACAAGCTGTGACTAATGCTCTTCCCTCTATCCTTCAAGAGCAATAGCAGATATTAAAGGGGGATTGATATGACAGGAAAACATTCAAATCTGTGCTGCCCACAAAATATATCCACATTTTCCAAAACCCCACCGTGCTGCAGTACTGCTTGTACAGTAGCAATATGAACCTTTCTGTCCCTGTCTAGTTGTCATGTTTTCCTTTCCCTACCTATTTCTTCCTTGTAAAGAGCAGACAGCAATGTCATAGACCTCATCTCTAAAATAGATGCAGGTAGGTGAGATTAGGACTCAGTGGTTCCAAACAAAGTGATTTGAGTAGAATCTGGGTGCCCCCAAGGAGCAACAGTAGCATAAGGTTTAGATATCTTTCTAATTTGGCTCTAGGACAACTTCCTATAGCCCTCAAACTGTTCATGTGTTGGAAGGAAAAAAATAAGCCTTGTTCTAGACAGTACAGTACTGGGCTAGCTGTATTTTTACCATCTGTTTTGTTTGGAAAGGGTAATTATGAAGTTCTAAAGTCTCCTACTCGATCTCTATGATCTTGTGGACTCAAAATACAATACAAAGGCAATACAAACACTGATAAAATTGGTGTTTGAGTTAGTTACACTTCAACATAAATGAAATTGTCAAGCTACCTTCACCTCACCTACTTGCAGGATTGTATAATCTTCAGCTGCTTGTTCTCAGATAAGGAACAGTTGCAAAACTGTAGTCAGCAAACATACTTATCTCTGTAGTCACGCTTTCACATGAGAAAAACTCCAAATGCTTATTTTCTTTGAAGTAATTTTGTGAATTTTGTTCAGGCTTTGTGCGCTTAAAATAGCTTAAACCAACATGTTGGATGAGAGCAAGTCAAAACTGGCTGCAAGCTTTTAATCACAGACCTACAGAAATGTAACAGTTCAGTTGAAATTATTTTCCATCTTTTCTGTGTACTAGGGAGATTCTCTAGTAAATAACATCATTTTTTTTTTTAGTGATCAGTTTTCATTTGTGTCTCCACTAAGGAGATAAAAAAAGCTATTGAAAAACAATCAGAGATCAACAAAGTAGAGATTAACATAGACTCATAGACTCGAGACTGGACTTGAGCACAATTTTCCTAGTTACGGTGCCTTAAAGAAGTTGAAAATAATTGAATTTTCCACTTTTTAAATTTGAATGAATGGAATTTATCTCATCAAAGTGTGAACCTTTAACAATTAATCTAGCTATGCAGAGAATCAGGCATGTCCAGAATGTAAATCATTTAAAATACATCACTGAGAGATGTATTGCTCTTGGCTGACTGCAGAGGGAGTTGAAATTACAGGCTTAGATGTAGACATAAATAAGTATTAAATAAAATTAATACTGTCATTCCTTATTTTTACATAATAATTTCAGAAATGTTCTAAAATTTAGTTATTTACTTGAAGCATAAATATAAAACAATCTTGAAGGTAAATGCCAAGAACTGTGCTGTTTATATTTATGCATAAATGGCTTTATGTAAAGTAATGAACAGTGAGCCTCATCTGAAAAGCAAATGTGCTGAAAGGTATTTGCTAAAGTGCAAGTTATATAGAGGAAATATGATTTATGAAATAAAGAGTACAAAGGTCATAATCATGCTAGGAAATAAATTTTGGTTTAGGGACATGAAGAACTAATTAGTGATGGGGATTATTTTCACCATCACTAAAAAAAGTGCCTAATTTAGGAGTCTGAGCTCTTTACTATTGTAGTAGTATTGTAGTAGTATATACTATGTATATACTATATACATGCCTTCATTTAATTGTAGAAGAGATTATGTCTTCTCCTGGTGATAAGTACTCATCACTGTACATGAATACGTAAGTGATTTCATTTTCATTGCTTAAGGTCAAGATATGTGAATAAATACCTTCAGTTTTCACAGGGATACCATATACAAAAGTTGTTTTGAAAGTAATGCCTCCTATTAATTAGAAACTACAACGAGGAGTACAGCAGCACTGTTCAATAGAGCACATTCTCAGCTGCAAAACACTATTTTTCAACATAGTCACCACCATTAGCCAGTATGTAATGCTAGTAGAAATCTACACCATTGAAGGTGACTCACTGTCACTGTCACTACTGCTGAAACACATACCACCTCATTGTGCCCACATCCATTTTTTGGTCTCCATCAACATTCAGCAAGTGTCAGTGAAGGTCAACAGGTGTCATTTTTTCTGCACAGAGGAATTCAGTGATGTCCCTTTGATTCATAGACATTTCCATGTCAGAAGACATTTAGTCAGACAATGCCAATCAATGACTTAATGCCTGCCTTATGCCAATTTTTGAGCTGGTGGATAAGCATTTGTGCTATAATCTAAATGATAAATATAATATATGTATATGCCTAGAAATTAATACACCTTTGGCTCTGCCAAATTTCTTCATCTGTTAAAGTTTGAGCCTTTCGCCATGTGCTAACAAAAAAACTTCAACAATTCTATTCATCATTGAAGCATCCATTTCTTAAAAATTAATACAATTAAAATATTCCTGCAAAATATTACAATTCATTTTATAGGTCTTACACTATCTTCCTGCTTTCCTTTGTAGGCAAATAAGTTGGTACAGTTTTTTAAAGACTTTAAGGACAACAACTTGCCTTTGACAAGTCATTACACACACATTTCAAGCTTGGAGTCCAGTCATGTTTCTTTGTCACCTTGAGCAGAGGTGAGGATTCACGTGATGTCAGCAGGACACAAGTGGTGCAGGTGGCAGGTCCTGAGTCATAACCAGCACTTCAGGAATGTCGGCATTGTAAATGACCAAAAGATTAAGTCTATTAGCAGTGTCAGTATCACTGTTTTCTTCACCACTATTTTAATATGTCCTCCACAGCTTACTAAATGTGGCTGTGTCCTTGCAGACTGTGTAACAGAAGGAAGTCCTGGAAAACCTTGTGTTGCACTGCACTGAACCTGTAGCTGTTACCATGTTCCTAGAGAAAATGCTGCAGTTTTCAACTGGGTTGCAGACTATGTTTCAAGATAACTGCAGAACTGCTGATAAGCACAACACTAAATTAGATTTGCTGAGATTATGTATTAACAGTACTATTCCTGTGTCAATAGAGAAACACACGCTGTTGAAAAGAAGCTTATACAACAAGATACCATCATTTATGTTGAACCTCGTTCTAGTGTTAATCATGAAACAGCTAAGCATCTTGTCTAACTTACATAGGTGCATTGTATGGTCAGCACAAAAAAATAAGCATTTCCAGTATGTGATGCATTCTTTTTTTGTTTAAGGTTCCTGAGGTGCTACCAGGAATCTTTTTCTAGACATGCCAATCTTTGTCCATTTACTGTAGATGATGTTTGAACAGTTATACTTTATTTTTCAAACAGTTCAATTGGCTCTTATTTTTCAAGAGTATACTATTTGGAATATAACAATACCTGAGGTCTATAAGGCAGGAAAAAACTTGCATATGAAGGCTATAAAATATCAAAGTATCTTCAATGAGTGTAAAGGAAGAGAGGCATCACCAGGACTTTGTCCACTGGTTTTACAGTGTTAAAGACATGCTCCAATGAAGTGCACTGTAAGAAGAAACAGTGGCCCATGTTTGGTCTTAATACTATAAAAACATTAAGATTCTTTGGCATGATGGGATGCTGGAGAAGGAGCCATCACATGGAGAAGGAGCTCCAAAAATCCTTGGACTTGTTTTTTGCTTCTTTGGAAAACATTATTCTTGTGTTATATGTTAATACTGTTCTACCCTCTGCAAAAGTATTTTCACGATATGCACTGATCCTGCCTCAACGGAAAGAATAACCTGCGCCGCAGATCCTGACAATTTGGGCTTTCAGTTGTGGAAATTATCTCTGTGGATGAAGGACTGCCATAATATTTATTTATTTATTTACTTACTTACTTACTTGTTTTATTTATTTATTTATTTATTTATTTTTAACACAAGGCAGCTACTGAATTCAACACAGTAATGCACATGCACAAATCAAATAAAAAATAAACTGATAATGAAAAATGCAATCAAAGACAAACACTTCAGTTCTAGAAAAGATCCAATTCATAGCTGTGGTGGGATGTGTACCATATACTTATTCTTCCCTGAAGTCACATTTTTCCATGAGACTAAATGGATGAGTGGTTGGCTGGATAAATGCTTACAAAGACAGCTGTAAAACAGATATTTCAAGAGTTTTGATTGCCAATATAAAAAGAATATGAAGTGCCAGCAAGCTGAAAATAATGATTTCAGATCAAGCCTACAAGCAACTCTTTCTTGCAGGATCAATATTAAGGTATATATACATTTAAAATAAATATTCAATCAAAAATGTATGAAAAACACAGACCTGAAACAGAAGAATTTTAATTTATCTGTGCTTTTAGATTGTTAATTCCTGGGTGAGCTTAAATGGCATTTTATCTTAATAATGATACTAGCAACTGCATTTATTTGATAGATTACTTCAAATAGTACCATAGCCTTCATGTAACTTAGGTATCTTCAGCTCATCTTGTGAAGACTGAACTGACCATGGAGTTAGATATTTGTAGTAATTAGTACCTATAAATTTGGTAATATGGGGAAAAGAAAACAGATATATTCTTGAGAGCAGCAGGGTTGTGATCAAAAGCAGGGAAGATGGTAGTTGCAATATAATATATCGTTTTTCTCAGAGGGAGTTATTCAAATACAGAACTAAATCTGCTTGTACATTCAAGGAAATCTTTTGGCTGTTTGTTTGTGTATCACTAGGGAAAATGCAAACTGCAGAGAAAGTATTAGAATCATATTGAGTTGGCTTTATTTCAATCTTTTATTAATTATACATCCATTTATAGGACAAATTAACTGAATCTTCA